GGTGTTGCAGCCCAGCCACACCTGGTCCACACCCAGCTACAGTCCTCATGTGGTTCAATGGGAGATGAGACCTAGCCCAGTCCTCATGAGTACCAGTGGGTACTCAAGTCTAGCCCAGTCTGGCACTCCCCAGACCCAGTCCCCTCCATGCTGAGGGAGATTGCAGCCATGTCCAACCCAGCCTGTTACCGCCATTCTAATTCTCACATTCACCAGTGGGAATCCCAACCCAGCCAGGATGTCCCCTGGCTCTCCAACCAGGCCTATTCCCAGCCACAGATTTTGCATGCACCAATGGAGATTGTTGTTCTACATGGTGAACCCACATACTCCCCTGCAGATTCTGCCCCTAGACCTAATTCATTCCTGTGCTGGTTAGTGTCATGGCCCACCCTCACATCACCCATTCCCTTTTCTGACTGTCACTGAAGGGTTCCGTGATCTAGCCCTGTAACTACAGTGGCTTTGTGCACTGAAGTTCCTCAGAAGTCGTTCCTCATCTAGATATGAACCCTCAGGTCCATGCTTGCCCCTACCTATGCCATCCCCCAGACCAAATATTAGTCTACACCACCAAGTTCCCAGAGTGTACCGCCAGGCAGCCTGACAGTTTCTCCCAGTGCCACTGGCACCCGGACTGCCCAGGGTCTTACCTTCCCAAGGGAGTCATGCTACCCACCTGTCCACACATGTGCCAGTCCAAAAGGAACACAGGTTGGCGGAGGGGTGGGGTTGGTCTCGGGCCTAATCAGGATCCCAGGGAGTCACGCCACCCAGGTGTCTGCACCTGTGGCAGTCCAAAAAGCCATCGACTCTCAGATGGAATAATGAAATATATCTTCAAGGAAAATAAAGTCAGGTGTTCAAAGTTCTCTCTACTTCTGTCCTCTACCAAGGTCCCCCTCTCCACCTGTCCATTCTTACAATGCATAGACTCAGTCTAGGAGAAAAGAAAAGAAAATACCGGATGCAGATGAAAATTTCAGCTATCCGTTCCCACAGTGCTGTCTCCATGGAGAGTTTTTTAGAGGCCTCATGATCAGCAAAGGGCCTTCATCCCTCTTCCTCTTCCCTCCAGCCTCAGATTCTCCTTTGTACCCCTAGAACCACTCAGATGTGTGTCCCATTCTTTCCTCTTTCAACCCCACAGCTAGGCTGCACTGTTCACTTCCTTCTCTGAGCTTACTGTTCTTTGCTTCTGCTGGATGTCAGAGTTCAGGGTCAGGCAGCTGCTGGCACCCCTGGCTCGGAGCCATAGGAGGTGTTAGGACATGCATGGAGACAGATTCAACACAGGGCAGGATGCCTCCTGGCAGGGAGCTGGTATCTGAGCATGCTCACAGCTGTTTTCCACCTCAGGAGAAGCTGAGGCCGGAACACTTGAAGGGAATCCCTGATGTGTTGAAGCATTTCTCATAGTTCCTGGGGAATCAGCCATGGTTGGTAGTGGAGGTGGCCTTCTTCCTGGGACGCAGCATTTCCTGCTCACTCTTTGTTGGCCTCTGCAGATCACCTTTGTGGATTTTCTTGCTACAATATTGGGAAATGTGTTTGGTCCCAAGTGTTTGGATGTGTTGAAAAACCTGAAGGACTTTGTGTCTTGCTTTGTGTTGTTTTTCAGCTTGCAAGTTCTTTTGCCATTTTCCCAATTAGCATGTTTTTATATCCTGCCTTAATGTCTCGGATGAAAGGAAGACAAAGACAGAAGGAAGCAATCTATAGGAGAATTCTGGAATTTCTCTTTCTCATCTTTTCCAGGTAGTCCTCAGCTATCTCCTGTCTACCTCCCACAGCCAACTCTTCCTTAATCTTCAGAGCTACAATGTGAGCCTCAACCAAAGCTGAAGATGCATATATTATGGGGGACCTCTAGGCTGGGGACAAGAAACAGAATCCAGGCTGCCTCCCTATGGGAACACACCCTCAATGCCCAAATCTGAGATGAATCAGGTTTGGCTGCTATCAAACACCTCAATCATGAGTGACACGATGAGAAAGGAGTAGGGTCCAGGCTGTGCTCCTGGCAACTGGGTGCTGCCCTCGTCCTGTGCTGTCTACTGGGCCTGCATTCTCCAGCCACCTGTAGTCTCAGCCTACACTCATCTTGGCACATCCCATCATGCCTGAAGCCATCCCTCACACAGAGGAGAAGGTTAGGGCACAGGAGTGAAAACAAAACCCTGTCCTCTGTCACAGACATAACAACTGGGGCACGTGCTCCAAAGAGCTCTGAAGATCACACTGGAACATCATCTGTGACCTGCACGCAGAGCTTCCCTCCTACCCTATCTCAACCCTGCACCTGCCAGCCACAGACACACTGCTGAATGCCCTGCCTCTCCCACGGTGCCCTGTGTGAAGAGACCTGCCTGGATAAGTGCCTGATTCTACTCCTTCTAGCAAGGCTTGAACCCGATTGACTCCATGGAGCAGAGCTGCCCAGTGACCTCAGCTCTTCCCCAGGGACCGTGACAACAAAGAAGAACCAGTGATCTTCTACAAGCTGCTGTCTGGGACCTCTTTGAGCTTCGTCTCTTCCTACTGATTCCTCAGGGTCCCAAGAGGCACAGAAATTGTGATGAGCAGCAGAGATGGCAAACAAAGGCAAGAGCCACCAATGAAGGCAGCCATTCCGAGAGAAGGAACGTTGGCACCTGAGACACCAAACAGTCTCCAACTGGGGCCTCAGATCAGTCCTAGTCCCATGAGATCATCTCTTGTGGGTCCTTAACTTGAAGTCCATAGGTTAGAACACTTGTATCCAAGATTTTAAAATGTATGTTTTCATCATTGATAATTTTGATAAAATTGTCTATATTTGATATTGACTTCATTTACACATCTTTTTGCTTAAAGGTGGAATCGTTCTGATTATTATTTTTTCTTAGGTAATCACTTCTTAGGCTTCAAACCTAAAACAATATTTTTCTTAGGAAAGTTATCCTCTTTTAAATTTCTTTTTTTTAAGTTATTTTTAATTGGAAAGACATATTTACAAATATAACGAGATAAAGAGAGAAAGATCTTCCCTCCACTGGTTCATTCCCCAAGCAGCCACAAAAGGTAGAGCTGAACCTATCCAAAACCAGCAGCCAGGAGCTTCTTCTGGGTCTCCCACACAGATGCTGGGTCCCAAATCTTTGGGCTATCCTCTGTTGCTTTCCCAGGCCACATATGGGATCCAGTGCCCATATGGGATCCTGGCGTGTGCAAGGCAAGAATGAAGCTGCTGAGCCATCATGCTGGGCTCAGAATTTATTCTAAAAATTTATTTATTTATTTGGTAGGGAGAGCGGCACAGAACAACAGATAGAGAAAAGTCCTATCCTCTTTGTCACTGGCCCCAGTGACCACCTTAGTTGGGGCTGAAGCAAGCCTAATCGAGGAGCCCATAGCTCTGTCCGTGTCTCCCATGTGGGTGGCAGGGCCCAAGTACTCTGACAATGTCCTGGTTACTTTCCCAGGTGCTTTAGCAGGGAACTGGATGTAAGGGGAGCTGTGGGATCTCAAATAAGTGAACTCATAAAGGATGCTCATGCTTCAAGGGGCAGCGTAATCCATTGTATCATAATGTAATCTCCAAACACCCTTTATAATTTGTACTTTATAATCAAGACCTGTATGGTGACTTCAGAAAAAGTCATGGGAAATAAAATTAAAAGATAAGTTAATTTTGGCTCACAAGGATTGTGAATCTCTGCATGCTAGAGATCTTCAGGAGAGTAATTTTTGAAATGTGTACAATATATTTTAATGTCAAACAGTTTTGCACCAAAATAAATGTATTTTTTCATTCTGACATTTTGAAAGAGCCTCAGGCAGCCACCATGTTCATTGTTATGATTATGCTAATATAAAATGTGCCACCTCGCCAATTTTCACAGCAAGTGGTTCCAGGTATGTTCATAATGCATTGTTGCCATCACACCCATCCAGCTCCATAACTCTCTCTCCCTGTTAAACTGTAGGTGGCAGCATTAAAGCAACACTCCCCATCTCCAGTCTTGACCCTAACAGACACCATCCCAATTCCTGTCTCTGTGACTTTGGTTTCTCTAACTCCATCCTTCAGTGGAACCATTAAGTTGTGGTAGTGACATGGACATCACTGAGCCTGTGTCCTCGCGGGTCACCCAGGCTGTGTCATGCTCAGAGTTCCTTTGTTGAGGGCTGAGCAATAGAGCCTGCTCCTGTGTGCATGTACAAGCTGTCCTTATCACTTCCTCTGCTAGGAGACACCTGGGAGGCTCCCATCGTGTCAGAAGTGGTACTTGTATGGTTGTACACACAAAGGGCCTGGTGCAATGGCTCAATTGATTAATCTTCACCCTGCAGTGCTGGAAACCCATATGGGTACTTGTTGGTGTCCCAACTGCTCCATTTCCTATCCAGAGGCCTGCTCAAGGGCAAAACCTTGAGACACAGCACTTATATGGGAGACCCAAAAGAAGCTCCTGATAGGATAAGCATGGTTCTGGCTGTTGCAGCCATTTGAGGAATGAACCAGTGGATAGAAGATCTTTGTCTCTCCTCTCTGAAATCTGCCTTTCCAATAAAAATAACATATGTCTTTGAAAAAAAAAAAAACCCTCAAGAACTTGCCTTTGTGTGTGTGGGTGTGGGTGTTTATGCAGAGATGGAATAGCTCTGATCACATGGTAACTCTAATTTTTGAGAAAGAACAGTGCTGACTGGCACAATGACTGGGCCATTTTCTGTCCACACTAAGAGAACTACAGGGTTCCAGTTCCTCCTTTTCCCACCAGCACTCCCTTTATTCTACTTTTTGTCCCAGCCAGCACCATGAGCGTGAGGCACTACCTCAGTCTAAGCTCTGCCTTGCCTTGCTCTAATTGGTGTTATGGAACACTTTCTCAGGTGCCCATTTGGCATCTGTGTTTCATCTCAGGAACATGTCAGTTCAAGACATTCGCCCATTAAGAATTGATGTTTGGCTTTTGTATTAACTCATCAGTTTTGTGAATACAACATTAATAAAACACAGTTCAATCATTTCTTTAGTTATCACATACACTTGATTTTCAAAGCCATAAGTCTGAGTAACAAATCATGACCCCCTAAAACCAGCATGGTCAGTGCCAAGTCAGAGCTCCCAGGGAAGAGGAAAGGCCCAGGCTGAGGTTCAGGCTTCCTCGGGAGCACATGGTGCCAGGGAGATCTCACTCAGGAGCAGGGCCAGCAAAGGCCAGAGACCTCTCTGGCATTTGGGGGACACTCAGGCCTCTCATGGCAGAAGACAGGAGCCACAGTAATGGCCTTAGTGCAGGAACCACAGTCCAGGGAGCCATAGCTGAGGAAGAGGGCAGAGCTTGGGCCGGCCAAGACTCTATGGGAGGGACTGGCTTAGAGGACAAGGGGCAGCAGGCTGGGAGGAGAGAGTGGAGGGAGAGGACTGAGAAGGCTGAGGCAGGGCTGGGGGCATGAGCTCCCCAAAGCCGATCCTATCCTTGAAATTACTGTGCCTTATTTTCCCGTCCAGGTAGCCACCTTAGGAAACATAGGTCTTGGGAGGAAGCGGCTGGACTTCATGTAGGCAGCGATCTTTGGCAGGGCCTGCAGGGGCAGAAAAAAAAAAAAGCAGAACTCAGGGTCTATGGTCCCACTGGGTTTTCTGTAGCATCTGTTTAGGAACAGCCCAGCAAGATCCAACAACAGCCAGTGTATAGGGCTATGAGCAGGACCTCAACCCTGTGGAGTTCACTCTTCATCACAGATACCTCACACCACACCTCGAATGATGGGTCATCTGGAAGATGCTAATAGCTGGGTGCTCTGCAGGTGCAGGCTCCAAACCCATCCCAACCTGCAACATGACCTGGTCCTGGCTATCACCTCTCAGAGGGAGCCTGAGTGTCACACTTGTTCAATAACTTTCTCACAGCCCAGGACTCTTCTCCACTCAACCTACCTTACTTAGGTCCTGCTGCACCTGTCTGCACAAACACTCTCCTTATTCACAACACAGCTGCTTGCTTGTCTGGAATTACACATAGAGCAGGAATGTCCACCAGGAAAAAGAGCTGAGAAGGGCAGCTTGCAGACTTCACAGAGCGACTCAGCAAAAAGTGATTGTGGGAAACAGGAGCAGGTGAAGCGACAAAGAATTTGAGGCCAGGCTCCAATTCTTCCCCTCACACAGGAAGTTCTAACTCCTCTATTTGGTATCTGAACCCAACTTCACTGTATCTCAACTTCCCTCATCCTGAGCCCTTTATAGCAAGCAGCACTGAGCACACTCCTGGGCCTTGCACCTTCACGCAGAGCTGACAGTGCCCACAGAGGTTCTCAAGAACTCAGGGTGATCCAGAGTATTCTGAGCCTATTGGGCCTGATCTTTGGGCCACGTGGTACAGCACACGGATCTGTACTGGTCCCTCCTCCCTGGCACACAGAGCTGAGCAATTGCTGTGTAATCCCCAATGTCACAGGTCTGGACCTGATCCAGAGCTGACAAGGAGCACACAGTCGTGAGTGGAAAAGCACACAAAGAGCATAGACCGAATAACGTGTTGGACTAATGCTTCAAACTACCAAATCCTGACAAAAGAAGCTTTGTTATAAGCAAGAAGTTTCTGTTTGATGGAAGTGAGTATGTGAGATGAGGCCCAGGCCGTGCTCCTCAGCACCCACAGGGTGGAACCAACTCACCCCTCAGTCTGCTGTGCTTATAGTTGTCTAAGGGTGCTCTGTCCCAGCAGTCACCTTTACATGTACTCCTGCACCTGACCCTGAGAGGATGGTCTGCAGGGGCGTATATAAAAAGGAAATCTACCCCATGTCACAGCCAGCACACCAGACACTTAAAGGCATGAGCAAGAGGGAGAGAGGTGGTAAAGAACATGTCCAAAACACTGGCTTTGTTCATAGTCAGGAGCTGTTGAGAAAACCAATTGAAATAAAACCTCCCCAGTGTGCAACCTCTCCCCAGGACCCTCCCATGGAATTAAGGGCAAGCCCTCTGAGACAAGGCATGTGGAATCTGAACCTCTTAGTCTCACACTACTACGTATAACTAGTATAAAATCTGGTTAAGGTTCTGCACCCTTCATGTCAAAGGCCCACCGAAAGTTGGAATAGTGCTAGAATCTATCCCAGTCACTAACACGGCCAAGCCCAGCACTCCTCCCAGTGCCCTGCCTAGGGAAGCCACACTGCACCCTCTAGGGGACCATGCAAGTGCAGGCTCTGCTCCAGGGTGCGGGCACCTGCACAGGTGAGCAACAGATGGACACCCAGTGATTGCTAGGTGTCAGTCAGCATTGCTGGGCAAAGGTCAGAGCAGGCACATGCATTATCATCCCCAGTGGAGTATGTTTTTTTGTTATAGCTGGTGTCCATGTATTCCAGGAGTAGACGGATGGCATGACACATGACACATCTGGGTAGTATGGCCCAAAACAAGAGGTCAGAGAGAAGAGATCCTGAATCTGTTCTTATCTCTTCCATGTGAGCTGCAACCCATGTTTCATGCCTGCTCACCCTGCAATCACAGGGCCCACACAAGGAATTCCAGAGAGCCTTGGACAGGTAAAGTTTCCAATAAGCCCTACAGGAACCACGGCAGCTACTCAGTGGCTCTCCCATTCCCACCCTCTGAGCAGACCCCTCATCCGCCCCGGGGATGTCCCAGTATCTCAGAATCATGGACATGGTGCTGCTGGTGTAGAGTGCAGCTGGGTTTCCGGCGGACTGGCCTGGAACTTTCTGCTAGTATGCCCAAAGGCCAGGGGCAGAGTTGACAATTGCCATACTCCTAGGCTAAACCCTCTAGGTGTAGGAAGTTTCAAATCAAATTGTAGCCACCAGGGAATTGTAAGCCAGGTCTGAAAGCCTGGAGGCCAAACGTGGGACCAAGACTGGCCACTTGCCCAAGCCCTCCTCAGCAGCCCCCAGCTGTTGGGGCCCTGGCAGTTGACAGCACCCTTGGCAGCCCAGCCAAGCCTGCAGAAAACACCACAACTCCCTGCCATTATCAAATGGACATCCTTCTGTCCTCACCACTGGGCTGCCAAGTTCCCTAGGCTCTGGGAAGCTCCAACTGCCAGTACCAGCCTAAAATGGGTGCTAACAATGGAGCGTTCAAGTCAGCACATCCCCATAGAAGAGCAATGTTGGGCACTGCCATGCTCCTAGGCAGACACTCCACAGAGCCACGCATCAGAAGCAGCAACCCTAGAAGGCAGGGCATGCCCTGACAGGGGGAAGAGAAAAGAAAAAAAAAAAGCCTCTGTGTTGTCCTTTAAGGGATTTGGGGACCAGCCCTTGGGTCTCCTGACTGAAGCCTTATGGTCATTCACCCAGTAGTGTTTCTCTTTCATCAAGCAGCTGGTGAATCTCCAAGAGGCCCACCTTGCAAGGAGGCAGCATAGCTGAGGTGCACCCTCAGAATTGTCCTGTTGTCAGATAGGTGACATCCTCGAACAGGACAGCGTCCAGGAGGGGATGTGAAGGAAGGTGGGAGAGCCTCTGTGGGGGCAGGAGCAGAGCCCTTTCCTGAAGCAGGAGAGAGCAGCTGGTGACCAGAGATGCCTGGAAGATGTCCAAGAGGACCACAGGGAGGACTGGATCAGACCCTCAGCAGGCTGGGTCCTCAGAGTCAAGCCCTGGCCTTGGCTCCTGACCCACAAATGTTCTTGGGTATGAAAGGGTGACTCAAATGACATGTATCTGTATAAAGATCTAGGTATTAATTTCTTTATTTGAAAGGCAGGGTCTGCTCTACCTTCAAACCAGAGATGGTCTCCCCAAGAAACTGTTGAACTTATCTGGACAATAAGACGCTGGACTTTATACTTAGTAGATGCTTGCAATGAAAGAATCACAACTGAATTTAAATTGTGGTAATGCAACAAGGTGGAGGAATCCACCGGGGGGCGGGTTGCGGATGGGAGAGGAATCCTAGTGCCTATAAAACTGTGCCACATAATGCAATGTAATCAATAAAAAAAGAAAGAAAAGAAAAGAAAGAAAAGAAGAGAGAAGAGAAGAGAAGAGAAGAGAAGAGAAGAGAAGAGAAGAGAAGAGAAGAGAAGAGAAGAGAAGGGAAGAGAAGAAAAGAGAAGAGAGGCAGGGTGACACTCCCCACATTGCTAAAGTAGTCTGGGCTGAGACAAGGCAGTGCCAGAAAACAAACTTAAACCCCTTCTCCATGTTGGTAGCAGGGACACAGACCATGGGCTACCGTCTGCTGTCTCTCTAGATGCACATTAGCAGGAAGCAGGAATCTTAGGAGGAGCCAGGATTAAAAATTGAAACTCAGCCATTCTGACATGGGATGTGGGCAACCCCACGGCATCTTAAATGCCCAACTCTCAAATGGCTTAAAGTCAGTCTGATATGACTGTGTAGCAGAACCCCCACAGGAACAATGTACTACCTGTCAGCTTTAATTTTTGTAGGTAGAAGACCTGTTTGAAAACTAAAGAGTATTCCCCAAAAAATGAGCCTGTGGTTTTATTTTGTTTCTCTTTTATGACATTGTGAATCTGTGAAACCAGGTTGAGTAGTGATTTGAACAAAAATGGGGTTCAACAGCTGAAGAACCCAGTTGTTGAACTTGAAGAAGTCAGTTTGGGAAATTAACTAACACATATTAGGAGTGTGCACCAAGAATATCACTAATGATTTCAGCTTACCTGAATACGGTGTGGAGTTGCAGGTTGAGCTTCGTTTCACCGAGTGAAGCCAGACAACTCTGGTGGCCTGGGTGTCTCCGTGTTGCTGGGGAGATGGGGCAGCAGGTCACTGGGGCTGGCAGAGGGCAGTCCCTGTTGCAGATGTTCCCCATGCATTCTGACCTGGACCCCTCCACAGAGCTCAGCTCCCCATCTGTGTCCAGGCTGAGACAGCAGCCTAAGCCTCTGGGGGGATTTCCCTAAAGGTTTGCTCACAGTGAGACAGTTCATACCTACATGTTTACCCTCAGTTGTTACACTTCTCACTTTGCTGTTCTAAATCTCTTATCTCTTGCAACTAGATTCAATTGAGAAAGATTTTTAAAGATTTATGTTGAAGGTAATAATTTTAGAGAGCTAGCTCTTTCCATCTGCTAGTTCACTCTCCAGATATCCACAACGGCCAGCACAGGACCTGGCCCAAACCAGGAGATCCTTCTGGGTCTCCCACTTGGGCAGTAGGGATCCAAGTACTGTGGCTATTGTCTGCTGCTTTCCCAGTCCATTAGCAGGGAGCTGCATCAATTCAGCACCCACATGACATACTGACTGCAACTGGTGGCTTAAACCAGTAGGCTGCAACACCATCTACAAAAAATATTTTTTAAAATAAAGACAACAATAATTAGAGTAAGAGTGCAGGGGCTGGCCCAGTGACATGTCGAACTAATCCACCTGTAGCACCAGCACCTCATACGGAAGCCAGTTGCTGTCCCAGCTGTTTCACTTCCAATCCAGCGCTTTGCAAGTTGCCTGGGAAAGCAGCAGAGTATGGCCCAGGTGGTTGGCCCTGAATCCATATAAGAGACCTGGAAGAAGCTCCTAGCTTCAAATTGGCCCAGCTCTTGCCAGCTTTAGTGATGTCTGAAAGCCTAGCTCCGCTGCCAAGGGCTCTGCAACTCCCATGGACCCAGCAGAGTGGCCTCTGGGTCAGGCTGGGAAAGCCGTGAGTTCCCACCCTGCGTTCTTCCCCTGAGCACCCAGACCTCGCTCAGGGAGCACCGGGGTCTGGGACCATGAAACTTTCTGGAGGGTGGCTAGAGCAGCTCTGGCAACCAGGAAGGAATTCTGAGGAAACGCAAAGCATGAGAAACTTAGGAGGGGGCGGAAGGGGCTGGAGGAGCCAAGGGGAGGGGTGAGTGGAGGGCGGGAGGAGAGGAGGAGACCAGCGGGTCCGGGCGGAAGGGGCGGAGTCCTGCACTCACCAGCCCGGTAAAGCCGCTGGGTTGTCCCGCACAGATCAGTTCCCTGGGCACACAGCAGCAGCAGCAGCAGCAACAGCAGCAACAACACCATGCCGATGACACTGGGTTACTGGGACATCCGCGGGGTGAGCAAGGGGGCTGACCAGGGTATGCCTTAGCAACTGGGGAGATTCGCATTGGTGGTGCTTCCGGAACATAGAGAAAGCTTCTGTCCTCAAGGAGCTCGTGTGTGTGTGTGTGTGTGTGTGTGTGTGTGTGTGTGTGTGTGTGTGTGTGTGTGTGTGTGTGAGAGAGAGAGAGAGAGAGAGAGAGAGAGAGAGAGAGAGAGAGAGAGAGAGGGGGGGGGGGGGGTGAGTATTTAGTACCTGGATTCTTCTAGAGTTAAAGCAGTCAAAACTAGGGAACTGTCCCTCTGATCTTTGTCCCCTACCACCCTCCCAGCTGGCCCACACCGTCCGCCTGCTCCTGGAATACACGGGCACCAGCTATGAGGAAAAGAGATACTCCATGGGAGATGGTAATACACCTGCTTGCTCTGACTTGTGCCCACTGCAGTTGACTGACATCAGAGCCTGCCCTACCCTGCTCCCCTGGATGGTGCAAGACATTGGGGTGCTGGAGATGGGCACTCATGGATCAGTGCTTGGGCTGGATTTTTCTCTGGACTAACCCACAACTTTTGTAAGAAGCATGTCGAATTCATGCACAAATAAGCATTCTTGCCCCCCATACCTTGAATGTGAGACTGGGGTTCAGATCCCACATGTCCTGTCTTGGGGGTCTTGCCCCTGACTCCTTGGGAGGGTCCAGGGAAAGAGGCTGCACACTGGGGAGGTTTTGTTTCACTTGGTCTTCTCCACAGCTCCTGACTTTGACCGAAGCCAGTGGCTGAGTGAGAAATTCAAGCTGGGCCTGGACATTCCCAATGTACGTGCAGGGGATGGTGGCTAGGGATGGTTGATAGTGCAAGGTGTCTGTGCCTCCATCACTTTCCCAAACTTAGAGTTTTCAAAACAGGATCTTGTGCACAACCACTGTACAGTATTTTCCTTGATGTTCCACATTGTAGATCACTCATTTCTTGTATGGAGTATATATATCCAGGACCTGCCATGGGCCAGGCACAGGGGGTACTTGGTCTCCTGTTTCCTCTATCTAGCTCAGGGCATGGGGTCCTGGGCACTTGGGAGCTGAGCTGACTTCCCTCCTCAACTCCACCCACCAGCTGCCCTACCTGATTGACGGCACTCACAAGCTCACCCAGAGCAATGCCATTGTGCGCTACCTCGGCCGCAAGCACAACCTGTGTGAGTGGGGCTGGCTGAGGGCGTGGGGCTGTGGCTGTGCCCTGGGCCTGGCTGGGTGGGATGCTGAGGGTGTCTGCTGTGTGTGCTGCAGGTGGGGAGACGGAAGAGGAGAAGATTCGCGTGGACATTTTGGTTAACCAGGCTATGGACAGCCGCATGCAACTCATCACTATCTGCTTCAACCCTGACTTTGTGAGTGCCCAAGTGGACTGGATAGGACTTGGCCAGTTCAATGAGGATTTAAACCTTGTGTTCATATCTGCACTGCTCCTGTGTGCCACTTAACACCCCAGGAGGACTAATTCTCCAAGAAATTTTCTATCTGACCAATACATTGATTCAGAAACTCCAAACTGTTGTGAAATCGGTTTTCATAATCTTAGATATAATCCTGATGACCCTGGAGGCAAACTTAATTGTGAAATTTAAAATTCACATTCTGAAAGTGTACTTAACTAACCTGTGACCTTTATCATGGCCATCTTTCATTGTTACTCCCAACATGCATCACTACATGGAAGCAAAGTTCAGTGCATGATAGCAGTTCTCGATGGGTCTGTCCTCAGGTGTATGTGGTTTTCCCAGGGCTGCCACCATGCCCTTACAAGATAAGCATATTTCCCCAATGGGCAATGCTAGGTCAGCCCAAGGTCCTGGGTTCCTTTCCCTCCATCCTTTCACATCACATTCTCATCCTTTGTGAACTGTACACATCCCTGTGCCACGCTCAGGAAAGATGGCTGCCTCCCCTGGCCAGCAGGGCCATGTGCAGCCCTGGGCAGGCAACCCATCACCCAAAGTTGTGTCTGTGGGTGCTGACAGTTGTTTGTTCCTTCAGGAGAAGCTGAAGCCCGATTATCTGAAGGATCTCCCTGAGAAGTTGACACTGTACTCCCAGTTCCTGGGGAAGCGGCCCTGGTTTGCAGGGGACAAGGTGAGGCAGAGGGAGGGAGGGAGGCAGGAGCAAGGGGCATGGTTGGTCTCCTCTGGTCCTGAGCTCTCTCCTCCTGGCTTCTGCAGATCACCATTGCTGATTTCCACGCTTATGATGTCTTGGATGGGAACCGTATATTTGCTCCTGGTTGCCTGGATGCGTTCCCAAACCTGAAGGATTTCATGGCCAGATTTGAGGTGACTCCCTGCTCCTCTCCCCTTGTCCAGCTCCTTCATGCTCTCTGAGTCCTGGAGCTGGGTTGCAGACCAACCCCTGAGAGCAGGACCCAGGGTTAGCATCCTGCACCTGCTGTGTCCTGTGTATCTGCATATATTCTCACACAGTGGATAGAGCTGTTACTTCCAATTGACACGTAGCAAGCTGAGAAATAGAGGGTAAGGCATCTGTCAGGATCCCAGAGCCAGTCACAGTTGTGCTGGGCTCCCTGAGATCCTCTGGGGTGTATGGGCAACAACCAGAGGTCCTCTGCATTTTGTGCTAAAGGCCGTTGTCCTATCTGGTTCTCCAATCCTTGGAAACTATGGGAGAGGCCAGACAGCAAGCAGTGTGTCTACTGGGCATCTGGAGGGCTGAGACATGTTAGAATGGAGATTCAGTGTCAGAGATACAAACATTCCATAAGCTTGATCTCCAGGGAAGTTGAAGCAATGAGCTCCTCGTGTGGAAACACTGGCTGCTAGGTGTATTGTTGGCGCTGGATCTCAGTGGCCACAGGTGGCACCTAAGGTTCTTGTCATGAAGAGTTAATGGTGAAAACGTTCATTGTCACTTGTTCTAATGCCCAATGTCTAAAATAATGTGTCTGTGACATGGGACAGGTGTTTGATATTTAATTTTATGCACCTGCAAATGTGACTCCATGCTACAATGAGTCAGTTAGAGAAGGGCAGGCAGAGTCGGGGGCAGGGAAGGGGTGACACAGTGTGAATTTGAGTAGCAGAGCCTGACCTTCACTCCTCAGGGTCCCATCAGACATAACCAAGAGGAGTATGGCCACGTCTTCACCTCCCTGGGTCTCATCTATCACCCTGGGACATCTTGTTTGCAAAAAAGCTTTTATCACAGATATGAGTGTTTGCGGTATTAGTCCAACAGATTGTTCACTCTAAGATCTTTGCCCTATTGTCCTAGCTATGCAAAAATGTGCCTTCTCATCAACTCTGAATCAGTTCCAATCCTGTGGCCTTAGGAATTATGCAACAGTTGCCCAGCACTGTGTTTTGGGGTTGAGAGACCAGATGGCATCTGTGTGCTAGACCACGTGGCCCTCAGTGCCAGGCCCATTAGGCCCAGAACACTCTGGATCGCCCTGAGTTCTTGAGAACCTCTGTGGGCACTGTCAGCCCTGCCATGAAGATGCATGGCCCAAGAATGTGCTTGACTGAGAAAGTTATTGAACAAGTATGACACTCAGGCTCCCTCTGAGAGGTGATAGCCAGGACCAGATCATGTTGCAGGTTGGGATGGGTTTGGAGCCTGCACCTGCAGAGCACCTAGCTATTAGCATCTTCCAGATGACCCATCATTCGAGGTGTGGTGTGAGGTATCTGTGATGAAGAGTGAACTCCACAGGGTTGAGGTCCTGCTCATAGCCCTATACACTGGCTGTTGTTGGATCTTGCTGGGCTGTTCCTAAACAGATGCTACAGAAAACCCAGTGGGACCATAGACCCTGAGTTCTGCTTTTTTTTTTTCTGCCCCTGCAGGCCCTGCCAAAGATCGCTGCCTACATGAAGTCCAGCCGCTTCCTCCCAAGACCTATATTTCCTAAGGTGGCCACCTGGACGGGAAAATAAGGCACAGTAATTTCAAGGATAGGATCGGCTTTGGGGAGCTCATGCCCCCAGCCCTGCCTCAGCCTTCTCAGTCCTCTCCCTCCACTCTCTCCTCCCAGCCTGCTGCCCCTTGTCCTCTAAGCCAGTCCCTCCCATAGAGTCTTGGCTGGCCCAAGCTCTGCCCAATTCCTCAGCTATGGCTCCCTGGACTGTGGTTCCTGCACTAAGGCCATTACTGTGGCTCCTGTCTTCTGCCATGAGGGGCCTGAGTGTCCCTGAACTCCCCAAATGCCAGAGAGGTCTCTGGCCTGTGCTGACCCTGCTCCTGAGTGAGATCTCCCTGGCACTATGTGCTCCCGAGGAAGCCTGAACCTCAGCCTGGGCCTTTCCTCTTCCCTGGGAGCTCTGACTTGGCACTGACAATGCTGGAGTTTCGGGAATTTCTTTTTTCTGTTGCCACAGCAGGACCTGGGAAAGAAGGATGCTGTGGGTGGGTATACCTGGAAAATGGGATGCCAAGGTGTGCTGGTCGTTTCTGTGCCCTGTGCATGTCACTGTGTTTCTTTCTTTGGGTCCCTTTTTCTGCCTGGCTCCTCATTCCTACAGCATTGTGCCATGGCTTGAAACCCCTGCAGCTTAGTCCTGGTTCTGAGAGCTGCAGGGTTGATAGGGAGGGGCTGGCAGTCGTCGGGCACACCCACTGGGAGCTGCTCCAGGGTGCTTTCCCTGACATGGATATTCCTGGTCTATATTTTCAGAATGTTTCTCAATAAATAGTGTCACATTGCCTATAATTGTTGTACTTGTTTGTTTGTTTTTCTACACGAACTGAGAAGAAGTCAATTAACAGAGAAGAGAATCCCTCCGTGTCTTCCCTGTGATATGTGTCATGGTGCCTGGCCTGCATCAGGTGTTCAGGAAGTTTGGAAATGTGGAAGAATTGCCTCCTGGGAATGCAAAGCCAGCCTGTTCTGCCATGAATGGGACTTTGCGCTGTGGAAATAACCATCTGGATCTGAGGAGGTACAGAGTCACATGCAGGAGATTGTAAGCATGCAGGGATCAGAGAAGGTACCTGCAGCTTTCTCTCACGTCACCATTAAAGGTGCTGCACCTGCCTTTGGGACAACCTTCCTGAAATGGGCTGGGCTAGGCTGGTTTGCTGCCCCATGATGTGGCACTACATCAGAACCTGGAATTCCATCAGAGGTCACCTGCAAAGGAGGAAGACTCATGTGGTGAACGCCTATGGAACAGCCTTCTGAAATTGGTGGGACAGTGTACTTGACCTTGGTGTTTTACTGCAGGAGGGGACTTGCGCTGCCAATAGCTGCACAAACGAAAGTAAGCAACAGGTGTAATCTAAGGGTCATTAAGGAATAGGTGACTAATTTAAAAGATACAAGTGAAGGATCAAGGGTAGGCCTAGCTAAATGCTTATGAAATCTCTTGCATGGAAATTGGTTAAATCAATATTTGACTTGAGGACAGAAGAGTTCAAAAGCAATGGAAGATCAAAGTGACACTGTAATAAAAGAAAATAATAAGTGCATATAGATGTACATCTAGTACAGGGTCAGAAAACATTTTCTCTGATGCCCAAGATTTTTGGCTTTCTGGGTCATGATTTGTCACAGTTACTCAACATTTTGGTTTTCAAATGTCACCTGGGACTGATGGTGGCCTAGAGGCTGAAGACCTCGCCTGAACATGCCAGGATCCCATATGGGTGTTGGTCCTAGTCCTGGCAGCGCTGCTTCCCACCGAGCTCCCTGCTTGTGGCCTGGGAAGGCAGTCGTGGATGATCCAAAGCCTTTGACCAAGCACCCATGTGGGAGACCAGGAGGAGGTTTCTGGCTCCTGGCTTCGGATCGGTGCAGCACCAGCTGTTGCAGTCACTTGGGGAGTGAATCGTCGGAGGGAAGATCTTGCGCTCTGTCTCTCCTCCTCTCTGTATATCTGACTTTCTAATTAAAAAAAAAAAAAGAAAAAGTCAACTGTACAGAATACCTGAAGGAATGGATGCATGTGTTCCATTAATATTCCATTTACAAAACAGGTGTGTCAAAACAAAACCCAAACAACTCAATTCTGAAATGGGTGAAGCATTTGGACTGACATGTCCCTTAGATGATACACAGATGTCAAATAGCACCTGAGAAAGTGCTCCACATCACCAATTAGAGCAAGGCAAGGCAGAGCTAGACTGAGTTACCACCTCACACTCATGGCATTGGCTGGGACACAAAGCAGAACAAAGGGAGTGCTGGTGGGGTCTGGAGAAACTGGGACCCTTGGCTCTGTTGGTGTGAATGCCAAAGGGCCCAGCATTGTGCCAGTCAGCACTGTTCTTTCTCAAAAAGTGAAATTATCACTTGCTGGCAGCTATTCCATTTCTGCTTAACACTCAAAAACACCAAGTCCTCGAAGGGCTGTGTGTACTGCCGTGCTCATAAGAGCATCACTTCCGACACGATGGGAGCCTCCCAGGTGTCTCCTAGCAGAGGAAGTGATAAGGACAGTTTGTACACACACACAGGAGCAGGCTCTACTGCTCAGCCCTCATCAAGGAACTCTGAGCATGACACAGCCTGGGTGACCCGCGAGGACACAGGCTCAGTGATGTCCATGTCACGGCCACAACCTTATGATTCCACTGACAGGATGCAGTTGGAGAAGACAAAGTCATAGAGACAGGAAATGGGAAAAGGGTCAGGGCTGGGGATGGGGAGTGTTGGTTTTATGTTCCCACCTACAGTTTTACAGGACAAGAGACTTAAAAACAATGCTTAGAATGATCATAAGGATGCTCCAGGAGATAAAAGAAAATGCAGATGGTTGAAGAAAATAAGGAAGATAAATCATGACATGACTGAGGAATTCAGTAAAGAAAGAGATACTGAAAATGATACCTCCAATCAGGAAAGAAATAGATACTGAAAATGACAATTTCATAGGTTTTAGTAATAAAGAATAAAGTTTTTAAATGGATGAATTTAAGCAGAAGAAAGAATGTTGAAAGATAAGGACAAATTTTTGGTATATCACAGTGAGACAAACATGGAGATTAAGAATGCAGACAGACTCTGAGACACTTGGGGTATTATGAGATGAAACAAGACGCTAATTGTGGATGTCTCTGACAGCAAAAAGGAATAGAGGCTTAAGAAATCTATTTCATGACATGACAGCTCAAAATAGCCCCGGTCTGGAGAAATATGTAGTTCAAGTACAGGAGCTCAGGGAACATCAGATGCACAAACAAAAGACACACAAATGATTCTCACTGTGACTCAGTGTAGTTCTGCTCTCAAAAGTACAACACAGAAAGAAAATCCTTCAATTTGTAAGAGGAAAGTGTCTGGTCATTTTTAAGAAGCTAGCAGGCATTCATGTCAAAGTTTTCAGGAGAAATTTTACAAACCAGGAGGGAAACGAGATATATTTTAACTTCTCAACAAAAAAAATACTGACTAATATGAATATCTCTTCCAACAATATTAGCTTTCATATATATTAGTAAATTCATCAGGCCAGCTTACAAAATGTGTTTACGGGAGCCCTGCATAGGGAAGCATTAGACAAATAACAGCCATTATGAAAACATGTGAAAGTGTAAAATTTGGCAGAAACAGAGCAAATAGTATTCAAAATAAAGAGAAGAAAAGTTCTTTTTTAAAAAAATTATGGAGCTGGATGGGTGTCAGAGCAACAACGCATTATGAATGTGGTACCACAGCATTGTGAAAATGGGCAAGGTGACACATGTGCAATAAGAAATAAAATGTTTAAAACACAATAAACAAAAGCTATTTCAAAATGTCAAAATGAAAAAAGATAAATTTATTTTGGCACTAAAATATCTAAAATCCAGGCATGTATTTTTTTCATGAATTCATTTTTAAGATTCTAGCATGTATGAACTTCACAATCCTTTTGAACCAAAATAAGCTTATCTTTTCATTCCACTTTCCATGGACTTTAAGTCCCTTTGTAGTTCTCTGATTTCACAGCTCAAATTCAAAGGGTATTTTGGAGCTGCCTTGTGAAGCAACAAGCCTGATATGAGGAACACTATATTGAGTTGGACTCAACGCCATGTTTTGTCAGGAGGTACACCTAACACTGAGTAGAAAACCACATCATGTTTGGCAAAACGCTCTAACTCCCTGACTACTTTGCTCAAGCTTAACTAGGAGCACAATCAAGCTCTACGTGGTCCAGTCACCAGAGCTTGCAAAGTCAGCAATTTTCCATCATTAATACAGTTTTGCATTTAACGCAGCTTGAGCTATCCCCTAAATGTCCTATCCCTGACCCCATCTGTGGTTTTGCTTTCATAAACCTTGCTCTTCTGTACTTCAAACTTTAGAAATCTTTCTCACATGAGCCTGCTCTCCACCACTGACTAATAAAGGACTTTCAGATCTTCTCAGTATGTTCCATTCTTTTATTTTGACCCTTCAGGCATCACACTTGTGGTGACATGGATTAGGCTCACCCTTGCAGGGTCAACATCGCTTATTGTCCACTTGTTTGAGTCAGCTTAGTCCTCTATGAATCAGCTCCCTGCTAACGCACCTGGGAAAGCAATAGAAGATGGCACAGGAATATGGGCCCCTGCCATCCCTTTGGAGACTTGGACAAAGTTTGGGATCCTGGATTCGGCTTGTTTTAGCCCAGCTATGGTGACACTGGGTCACTGCACCAGAGGATAGAAGATCTCTCCTTGTTTCTCCCTCTTTACATCACTCTGACTGCTAAAGAAATAAAATTTAAATAGAAATTTAAACATATATAAACATTAAGGTAAAATATTTTATTTGATTTGAAGCTTAAAAAGTGATTACCAAAGGATACAACTCAGAATAATTCCATCCTTACACCAGAAAAAAGATATGCAAATATAAGTAATTTTGTAACCAGTGATCAAAATTATCAAAGATGAAAGAATACATTTCAAAATCTTGGATACAGAGAGAATAAAGATGGTGGAATAGAGTAAGGACACATTTAAACAGACAGGGAAACATTAACCAGGGTGAAGCACAGACGGCACAGTCCATGAAATAGGAGCAGACAGACCAATGACAGAAGGGTACCTGGAAACTGAGTACACAGGAGAGCAGCGGACGCAATGGTGTGGTATTTTAATGACCAGACATCCCAGCAACATTCAGCCAGCAGGAATCTGAACTGCACCGGTGGCCAGGACTCCACCAGCACCCAGGTGGGAGGGAGAATTCACTGGGAACATAGGAAATGAACTCAAAGAACTGCCCATTCTGCTGGTTTGTTTAATTTGACCAGGACCAGGGACAGAACAGAGATTTCAAACAGGTGGTACTAGGGTACAGGGTGGAGTTCACAGCCCAAACCTCTGGTAGAGCCGAATCAGATATCATCTACTGTAAGGAGGCAAAGGCTATGGGACAGGACTACACATGCACTAAGCTGAGAGTGAATTCATTTCTGGCTCAGTGAACTGCAATGACGTAGCATCCTACAGATTCCACCAAAGATAGTTCCAGGTAGCCCCCAGATCTAATGGCCAGCAAATCAAGCACTCCAACAGTGGAACCTCAGGTGCCATTTTGGACACCGTGGCAAAGACTTTGAGACTGCAGGGACAACAGTGAGCTACGCAAACACTGAATGGAAGTGAACTCACTGAGCTCAGTACATTGCACTGGTCCAACAGGAAAATAATATTGACTTTGGCATTTTATGGCCCAAAATAGGTCCATGTGCCCTTCAGACCTAACAGCCAGCAGGTTCCAGCAAGA